GATTTGTTGACGATAAGAAAAATACATATCACAGGCAATGAAAAAAAGATTATGATTCATCGGGGGATATCACGTGTTACAGTAGCACAAGAAACAGACTAAAAGTTGGTTGACCTAAATAAGCAGAAAAAAAGAAACAAAAAAGAGTCAGGAAGCTTTATACTCATGGCACTATTACATAAACTATGCTGGCATGCACAAACACAAACTAACTCAGAAGTCTAAAATGATCAAGCAGTCATTGTTAGCTCTTTTAAGTCTTCCCAGTCTTAGTTTCTGTTGCCAGGATACAGTTTTTTTATGTTCATTTTCCCTTAATTAATGCCCTGATCCATGTCCATGTCTGTTCCTTTACCTCGCTGTCACTGTCATTCCCTATCTATCTCTGTCTCTCTCCCAGTAACAGCTACATTTGTACAATGGAAGTTCGACTCCATCTTCTGTGATTGTTCTTGTCAGGTCCTGCTCAGTCCTGCTCTGCTGCCTTCCTCCTGTCTCACTTCCCCTTTCCTGCGCCAATTCTAAATTCAGGGTTGGTTTTAATGAATGTCTTGGCGTCTGCAGTTATGTCACTTTCTGTGAGGTCAAATGGGGCTGTCTGAACTAAAATTACAAAAGTGCTGAATCTGACCTTATGTGCAAGAACAGCCACTGTGTGCATGTTGTACTCATTTCTGTTCCTGTATGATTAACAGATTGATTAGCTGGTCGATGTGCACTTAACAAAACAATCGTTGTTGTTTTGTTTCTTTCTTGCTCAAATGTACTTCTGATACTGCACTAACCAAAATCATATATATACTGTTTGATTGTCACTATAACCTGTTTTCATTTTGAGTTGAGCATGCCATTTATATAAGTGGAGAATAAAAGCCCATGCATGACATGTCTCTGGATCTCCTGTAGCCCTCTTCTGTACGAAAAGTGGGAATTATTTATTCAATTCAATTCAATTTTATTTGTATAGCGGCCCAATTCATAACAGAAGTTATCTCAGCGCACACTTTTCAAATTAGAGGCAGGTCTAGATCCAATACTCCTTTTTTCTTTTCAAGCATTTACAGAGACCCTACAGCTACGAACCATGGACAAAGACCTTGGCAGACACGGGGCAAAGAAAAACTGCCTATTTATGGTACCTAGACACTACTGCATCCAGAACGCTGTATACATAGTCCTGAAAATATGCCACAGCAACAAACACCCAGTCCATTAGTTGCAGACAAAGGCTGGCTTAATCGGCCATCAGCTCTCTTACTGTAGCTGAGGATCTCTCTGTGAGTTTTTCATGTCTTCGATAAGTCAGAACTGGGTCGGGTTTGGTAAGGACAAAGCAGGAATTACAGATGCTCAAACAAACAAACAAACAAAAGATATGTTTGCAGAGAAAATGAAACACATGATTGGCTTCAGTCTCTGCAGGGTGCACAGACTTGCTGAGCACTGCTATGATTTTTCTGTATAGTATCCACTGTGATAAGGTCCAACTGGTAAAAAGATGAATTGTGTTGCCTTGTTCCCATTTCCCTTTACACTTCATGCTTCCCCACTGGCATCGGTTAATAACCAGCAGCCACAGTGTATGTGGCATATTCAGCCATTTCAGTTTGCCTTCTTTAAATTGATTTTTGACTTGTAGTGGTATGAGTTACTGGCAGTGATATGGGCAAACAGAAATAAACTGCAACAAAGGGTTGTCAGCTAACAAAACCTTTGAAGTTTCAGCACAGCAGAAAGGTTTCACCATCCACCAAAGAATAAAACATACTCTAAATATTTCTGATCCTGTATTCAACTATTATGGCTTGACAAAACCATAATTTCCACTGGGAATTTTTATAAGCAAACATTCTTATAGCTTATGCCAGTGGTTGCCAACTAGGGGGTCGGGACCCCTACTACGGGTCATCAAAGATTCATGCGAGGCC